GTGAGCTTGGAGGCAGGAGGCCGGGGCAGGGGGGGCCTGGGGACACAGAGAACAGCCCCAACCGGTGCTCTGGGTGCTGGCCCTGGGCCACTGTGCGGGGCAGAGAGCCGGGAGGTGTCCAGGAGCTAGTCTGTTATCCCCGGGCCCGGGACCCACCCACCAACCTGCCGAGCCAGACAGGTGGAAACCAAAGTGGGACACTTTCCCTCCTGACCCCGAAGGGTTGGGCAGGCGAGCCCAGGGGAAAATGTCACTGCTCACACCTAAGGGAAGGGCTCCTAGGAGGACTGGGCCACTTCACTGCTCACACCTAAGGGAAGGGCTCCTAGGAGGACTGGGCCACTTCACTGCTCACACCTAAGGGAAGGGCTCCTAGGAGGACTGGGCCACTCCCCCAACCTTTTTAGGGGGAGGAGGACCGTCCCTAGGGCCGGAGCAACCTGTCTGAACAGGCCGCTGCCTCTCTGGGCTGGTGGTTAAGCTCTTAACTGATCTGCCCACCGGGGACCGAGCCCAAGTTCTCCCCGGAGCTCCCAGCTGCCTTGCCTCCTGGGGTGACACACCTTCCCCATGGCCACCAGGGCCACACCTCATGGGCGCCCCTCGTCCACGGGGAGCCCAGCGCCCTTATGGGAGTGACGGGTGGAGGCCGCCGAGCGCAGGGGAGGGACACGGCCCGCTTCCTCCTCCAGGTGTGCGGTCCAGGCTCAGGGACCCACCTCTGGGGACCGAGGGGCGGCCACCCCAACTTCCTCACCTCTCCGTGCAAGGCCTGCTCGTCCAGCTTATACGCTGCTCCGACCCTGCGGCGCACCTTGGGGGCCTTCTCCCCTGGTTTGAGGGGGTACTCGGCTGGCAGGACGCCCGTCAGCTCCTGCAGGGAAAGCGAGGTCAATCCAGGCCCCTCTCCACTTGCCCAGCCTGGGGCCGACCACGAGGAGCCTGTCCCTGGCCGGCACTGCCCACCCACCACCCCAGCCCGTCTCCACGGTGGTCTCACTGGCATCCTCTGCCCTCCCCCTTCGAGCTTCCTCTCTTGCCTCCTCCAGAGTTGGCGGCACACCTCGGTCTGCCCAGTCCCTCCGCAGCCCTAGGCCCCCGTCTGACCATCAAAACTCCCCCTTCCCTCAGCCCCAATATCCCAAAATGTGGCTCCAGGGGTCCTCGGATGAACCCCAAGTGCGGGTGTGCCGAGGGGCCCGTGGTTCTCACCGCCTCCCGCAGGCAGAGCCTCCGCAGTTCCTCCAGGCAGGCCTCCAGGCGCTCCTCCAGGGCCCGCTGCTGCTTGCGCACAGCGTAGGTCAGCTCCTTCATCTCCTTCAGCGGGGACACCGGGCTGTCGGGTCCTGGGGGCGGAGGGCGGGCGCACGCTCAGGGAAGCCTCCGGCAGATCAGATCGTCTTGACCACTCGCAGGGAAGCGTGTCCATGCACACGTACACACATGCACACACACATGCACGCCTCTTCTCTCTCGGCCTCTCTCTCATCCTAGGCCCACAAGCAGGACCTTTTCACCAGCCGGGGGCGATTTTTCAACCGAGTGACCATTAGCACAGAAGTTGCAGACACCAGCTCCAGATAGGATCAGACTCCAGACCAAGCCCCTCCAGCAAGAAAATGGTCCTGCTCTCCCAGCACCCACCCCCACCCCCAGTCCCTGAGCATCTCTGCCTGGCCAGCCCGGGGCTGGGGACTCAGACTCCCTGAGCCACTCACCAGACTGCAGGATGACACCGCTGTCTGTGTCACTGGCCTCATCCTTACTCTCCATGGTGGATTCCTGGGAGGGGGCGCACAGTGGGGAGGCGGGGCACCCTTCCCAGCCTGGGCCGGGGCGCGTAGGCGGCCTGGAGTTTCCCCAGCTTCTAAGAGGCAGTAACAGAACAAGCTCCGTGTAAACCCCTTTGGTCCCAAACAGAGCTTAAGAATCAGACTTGAGGGCGGGGTCCTGGCGGCGAGGAGAGTGCTCCTGGGACAGGTGGGGGTTTCTCAGCGCAGGGGTGCAGAGCGGAGGCTCTGTGGGTCCCACCGGCACACCCAGCCCCCTGCTGCCTCCTTCCCCTGGAGTCCTCTCGGCCCGAAGGGGTGGACAGCTGCGGCGGCCATGGGAACCCCTGACCCTGGGGAGCGGGTCAGTAAGGGAAAGAACAAAAAGAAAAGAACAGGCCAGGACGGAGCGGGGACAAGGTCTGCCTGGGATACGGCTGTCCCGACAGGGCTAATTGTTCTCTGCCAGAGAACCCTCGAGGCACGAGGCCCATCCTGCCGCCCCAGTGGGCGAGGACAGTCCAAGAAGTGGCTCGGCCAAGGCCCGGGCCCCCACGGGCCCAGACTGCCCTGCTCTCCAACCAGGTTATACACATCAAGGCAGGTGTCAGAGCTGTGCCAAGGCCCCGAACCAACACCCGGGCCACCAACCATGCCCAGGAGCCCTCGAGAGGGAGTCGGCCTGGATCCCCTGTCCCCCACAGCTGGGGGAGCCCCAGGAGCGTGTCAGGGTTGTGTGGAGTGGCGGGGGTGGGGTGTGTGACTGCAGAAGCCACCTGGGGACAGGAAGACGGCCTCGCCTCTACCGCCTGGGGACTCGGGAGCAGGGGTGGCTCAGGAAGCTCAGGTACTGTCCCGGGTGAATGTTGGCCCAGCTGGCACCCGTCAGCGAAGCAACACCCGCCCCCTCTCCTCCCCAAACCCACACCCCTGGTCAGGGCCCAGCTGGCCTCTGCGGCTGGAGTGAAGCAGGGGTGGGGCGGGCGGTCTGGAAGGAGCCCAGCCACCTCCTCACTGAGTCAGCCCCTTGAGCAACAACAAGTCCAGTCCTTCCGAGTTTCTGTCTGGAGCTTATCCTGCCTCCCCAGGGCAGGGACACAGGACACAGGGGACATGGGGGCTGCCCCTCCATCAGCCCCCGGGGAGAAAGCGAGCACCGAGCAAGGCAGAGAGAGGAGCCAGAGGACCAGAGGTGCTGCGAGCTTTCCCAGACCTCCCCCCGCCCCCCACATACACACATATACACACACAGACTTATCACAGTGCACGTGGGAGAGGGGCTACGACCAAAACCGCGACACCCACACTGGGCACCGCAGCTCTCCGGGGCAGCTAGAGGCAAGATTCCAAAAGGAACAAGCTTACCAGGGCCTTTGCAAACCTGCCCAGAGACTGACTGTGGGCATGGTCTGAGGGCACTGGAGGGTAGTCGCCTCTGCCCCGAGCATCCCCCCCAACCCCTTGTCCTCCTAGAGAGGAGACCGCGGGACAGAGGAGAGATGAGTAGGCAGGCAGCCCTCCTGCCCGCCCAGCCGCCTCTGACCCTCCCCAAGGCCAGAGCCAGGTGGTCTCTGCAAGCTCGGGGCAGGGAGGGGGAAGGTGCAGGGAGCTATTAATTAGTCACACTTACTCATTAATTATTAACCAGGAAGGAGCTTCCTTGGGAAGCTGTGTGGCCTGGGGCACAGTGGGCAGTTCCAAGGACATGGGGGGCTAAGCAGGAGGCCCGGGCAACCTTGCCCCCAGCTCCTGCCCCCCAGGTTGCTGGGTCAAGAGGGAGGCCTCCGGGTGTCCCAGTCTGATGCTGAGCCCACTGGGGGCTCCAAGTTGGGGGGACCCAGATTCGAGTCTGTATTACCCTGGGAGAGTCACCTCACCTCTCGGGGCCTTCTTCCCTCACAGGCTCAATGCAGATAAGAGGGGGGGCTACGGCCCTCCCAGCCCCGTCTGAACCCAGGCCCTTGGACCGGGCCCGGAGACACCTCCACCCAGGAGGACAGGGGTCTGGAGCCTGCCGCGCTTTGGGCACTGCCTTTAGGTTCAGGCAGTTTGGGGAACGCCCCACCCCTCTCCAACACGGGAATCCCCTTCCCTCCGGACCCTCAGTCCCAGTCCTGGGCCCTAAGCAGTTCACCTGCAACGTTCCCAGAGAAAGGCAGAGAGCAGAGGGGCGTGGAGGGAGGGAGAGACCCAGAGCAACCCCTTAGGTCTCCGGGGTCCTTCCTTCTCGGATGTGCCCGGAAGCCAGGTCCTGGGCCTCCGTCCAGCTTTTCCCTCCTCCTGTGGAAAATGAGGCCTCAGGACACAGGGACAGGCTCCTAACTGGGGCTGAGCAGTGCCCCCATCAACCCTGGGCCATGGACCACAGGAGGAGGGAATGACCGCAGGAGGAGGGGATGGTGCTGTTGGCCACTGCCCGGCCGCTCCCAGGCCCCAAGGACCCGCTCCACCCCGCCCCACCCTCACCTGCTTCAGCGTGTGAGTCCAGAAACAGCCCCAGGTCCCAGGTCAGGGGGCCCAGAGACCTTGCAGGTCACCTGGGGTCTCCCTGGCCACAGGGCGGCCTCCTGCTCCCGTCTTGGACCTGGCTCCCTGGCTCCTGCCGTCCTCACGCTGGTCCCGCCACAGCCTGGCCTCTGGTCCCTCCCAGGCTTCCTTCCCTGTCCCTCCTCCCAGGCTGCCGGGCCAGGGGAACCAGGTTACTTGTCGTGACTTGAGTCAGAGGGAGGAGCAGGTGAGCTAGTCCCTCCCTGAACGAACCTGCCCTGGCTGCTCCAGGGCCTCTGCACTTCCGGGGGGCTGCAGGGGAGAGGGGAGCGGGGGCTCCCCAGGGAGGAACCCCACAGGGAGGCAACAGGGGTCCCGGCTTCATGGCCTGGGGGGNACTGGGCACCGCAGCTCTCCGGGGCAGCTAGAGGCAAGATTCCAAAAGGAACAAGCTTACCAGGGCCTTTGCAAACCTGCCCAGAGACTGACTGTGGGCATGGTCTGAGGGCACTGGAGGGTAGTCGCCTCTGCCCCGAGCATCCCCCCCAACCCCTTGTCCTCCTAGAGAGGAGACCGCGGGACAGAGGAGAGATGAGTAGGCAGGCAGCCCTCCTGCCCGCCCAGCCGCCTCTGACCCTCCCCAAGGCCAGAGCCAGGTGGTCTCTGCAAGCTCGGGGCAGGGAGGGGGAAGGTGCAGGGAGCTATTAATTAGTCACACTTACTCATTAATTATTAACCAGGAAGGAGCTTCCTTGGGAAGCTGTGTGGCCTGGGGCACAGTGGGCAGTTCCAAGGACATGGGGGGCTAAGCAGGAGGCCCGGGCAACCTTGCCCCCAGCTCCTGCCCCCCAGGTTGCTGGGTCAAGAGGGAGGCCTCCGGGTGTCCCAGTCTGATGCTGAGCCCACTGGGGGCTCCAAGTTGGGGGGACCCAGATTTGAGTCTGTATTACCCTGGGAGAGTCACCTCACCTCTCGGGGCCTCCTTCCCTCACAGGCTCAATGCAGATAAGAGGGGGGGCTACGGCCCTCCCAGCCCCGTCTGAACCCAGGCCCTTGGACCGGGCCCGGAGACACCTCCACCCAGGAGGACAGGGGTCTGGAGCCTGCCGCGCTTTGGGCACTGCCTTTAGGTTCAGGCAGTTTGGGGAACGCCCCACCCCTCTCCAACACGGGAATCCCCTTCCCTCCGGACCCTCAGTCCCAGTCCTGGGCCCTAAGCAGTTCACCTGCAACGTTCCCAGAGAAAGGCAGAGAGCAGAGGGGCGTGGAGGGAGGGAGAGACCCAGAGCAACCCCTTAGGTCTCCGGGGTCCTTCCTTCTCGGATGTGCCCGGAAGCCAGGTCCTGGGCCTCCGTCCAGCTTTTCCCTCCTCCTGTGGAAAATGAGGCCTCAGGACACAGGGACAGGCTCCTAACTGGGGCTGAGCAGTGCCCCCATCAACCCTGGGCCATGGACCACAGGAGGAGGGAATGACCGCAGGAGGAGGGGATGGTGCTGTTGGCCACTGCCCGGCCGCTCCCAGGCCCCAAGGACCCGCTCCACCCCGCCCCACCCTCACCTGCTTCAGCGTGTGAGTCCAGAAACAGCCCCAGGTCCCAGGTCAGGGGGCCCAGAGACCTTGCAGGTCACCTGGGGTCTCCCTGGCCACAGGGCGGCCTCCTGCTCCCGTCTTGGACCTGGCTCCCTGGCTCCTGCCGTCCTCACGCTGGTCCCGCCACAGCCTGGCCTCTGGTCCCTCCCAGGCTTCCTTCCCTGTCCCTCCTCCCAGGCTGCCGGGCCAGGGGAACCAGGTTACTTGTCGTGACTTGAGTCAGAGGGAGGAGCAGGTGAGCTAGTCCCTCCCTGAACGAACCTGCCCTGGCTGCTCCAGGGCCTCTGCACTTCCGGGGGGCTGCAGGGGAGAGGGGAGCGGGGGCTCCCCAGGGAGGAACCCCACAGGGAGGCAACAGGGGTCCCGGCTTCATGGCCTGGGGGGGCCAACCACAACATACCCAGCTGTGAGGGGCCCAAGCGCCCTCCTGCCTTGACCCTGGCTCCTACCTCAGATGGTCACTGCCCTCCTGTACCTCAGTTTCCCTTTCCAGAAATCGAGGTGCACAAGGCCCCCAGAAGCAGGGTGAAGGGCCAATGTCCACAGGGAGCACCAGCAAGAAACTCACACGCAAACAAGGCCAGGTCACCACTCTCCCTACCCCTGAGTTCTGTCTCTCCCAAATCGAGATAAAAAACCTCAGGAAGGCTCTGGGGTCCCAAGAAGGTCAGGCTGTTCCAGCCTTTTTTTTTTTTTTTAAATCCTTACCCAAGGATGTGTTTTTATGGATTTTAGAGAGGAAGGAAAAGAGAAACATTGATCAGTTGCCTCCCATACAAACCCCGACCAGATATCAAGCCCATAGCGCGGGCACATGCCCTGACGGGGAATCAGACCGGCAACCCCTNTAAAATCCTTACCGAAGGATGTGTTTTTATGGATTTTAGAGAGGAAGGAAAAGAGAAACATTGATCGGTTGCCTCCCATACAAACCCCGACCAGATATCAAGCCCATAGCG